ACCAGAGTCAAGAGAAATGATCTCTCCAAGTAACAAAACCGTTCATTCCACAGGCGATGCTGGTAAAACTAGCAAAAGCTGATATGTAATCTGATAGGAACAAATGACAACATTGTTTAGTTTTTATGTCCAACACTAAAACATGCAATAATTACCTAAAATAAAAGTATTATTTTTCACATTTAAATTTTTACATTTTTTTTTTTAAACTACTTGCTGTTTTGTTAGAAATTAGATGGAAAACCGCCCTCCCTCCAATTTACAGACAGGGTGGCTACAAAGCAACATATCAGAAACTAGCAGAAAGTATGTTTCTTTTTATACTTTCTTCTCCGGATTGAAACTTTCAAACTTGGTCACTTGTAACACTTTTGTTTCCAGAAATGAGACCTACTGCGTAACTGGAAGTATCAAGCTGCACGTGTACGAGCCCACTTTAGTAGACATGAAAAAGCTGACGCATAACGTGAGAGCTGCAGTGGGAGAGAATCTGACATTAGAGTGTCCATCTCTGCGTAACTTCAACAAGACGGACAGCATGATAAAGTGGTACAAGGTGAGTGAACGAACCTGTCGGCACTTGGCAAGGAACTTTCTGCCTGATGCGGTTGAAAGTGATATTTTTTTACACTCTTTTGAGGTAATCGGCTAAGGCTGGTAGTGATGAGTCATTTAACCACATGCTGCCTTCTTGCAGGACTCCAACACCACTGCACCTCCAGCAGGCAGAGCAGGGTCCTTCCAACAGCACGTAGGCAAACTGATGATCCCAGCTGTGAAGCGAACCCATGCAGGCATCTACACCTGCAAGCTCAGGGTGCGCATTAACAACCAGCAGTACAAAGTCAGCAGAGTCTATCTTCTCCATGTGCAAGGTTTGTGATCTGCAAAGTCATGCATGTGCTGAGAAATGTGGGTTAAATAAGAGTTTTTATCTATTACATGGCTATTACTGCATTTATAGTTTTACATTATTAGGTATAATACAACTGTCAGGCTAGAGGACAGATCACACTTACGCTTCTTTTTAAGTAAACATGCAGAGTAAATGAGAAAAAAAATCTTTAAGAAATTCATTAAATGAATATTTAAATAAGCAAATCACTTTAATTTTATGACAATGTGCAACGGTCAAGTACTTTACATAAAGATCATCAATTTACTTCTTTACAACTAGAGCGTTGTGGTGCACTGCCCTCTACTGGCCCACTAGGGAAATAGCATGGGCCGCACAGAGAACTCCATCAAACACATTAATGATTATTACTGTGCCAAATAGTCCACTGTTGTTATTATTTAAGGAGCCGTTTGTTTGGATGTGTCTTCCAGGCCCTGATCCTGAGGTCACAACCAAATCCACTGTGCCTAACATCTCTGTGACCTCTGACCCTGGGTTAATCAGCACCAGCACTGTCAACAGTGAGTTTTTTAATATATATTTTATTTTATTTTAAGTTGATTAATTCAAATTCCCCAGAGGGACTGTTCATGAAGAAAACCCTTGTTTATGTTTTAGCTCCAATAGTTCAGCCACCTGTGATTGTTTCACCACTAAATGGAACCGTTTTTGAAAGTCCACATGGTGAGTGATAAAACTCTTTAGTCCTAAAATAAATAACAACAATACAACCTCATTCTTAAATAAACACACAACCAAACAGACTGTAAATATATATTACATGTCTCATCTAGACTTGCCTCTGACTTTCTTTAGGTTCAGGACTGAAACTGTTCTGTCAGGTGCTCACCGAATGTCAAACAGCAGATTCTACTGAGGTCACATGGTTGGTAAACAGCCAGACAGTGGAGTCATCGTACCTTGACAAGCGTGCTCTGCAGGGGGGAAGAAGGTAATTTTTGATTTTGTCTGCACTGGTTCTAAAATTACACGTAAACCTTATCTAACTTAAATGTAAGTTCATTACGAGTTCAACTGATGCTACTTTGGAATGATAATAGCTTCTTCGATTTTGACTGCAGGTTAGAGAATAAATGGATGGAACCATTATGAGAAAAATTCAAATGAAAGGCCAGCAGACAAACACGTGTATGTGCATGCTAAAGATAAGCCCTGTGCTCCGGGGTCATCGTGCTCTTCCAAACCCACTTTGCGATCGTGCCTATTTCCAACATAACCTTTTGCGCTCCTACAGGATCTGGTCTTTAAAAAACTGTGATGCTGTCTTGCCACTTTCTCTCAGACAAGTTAAATAACACATTTCTGAGAGGTTGTTATGGATATTTGATCCACCAGTATTGAAATAATCTACTACTAGCTGTTGCTAACAGCTCTGACTCTAATGATTACTCTTTATGTGTAATCATTAGAGACACGCCTCGTTCACAGCATTAAAAACAGACGGCTGCTTGTCTCGATGTTTCCAGGGTTACCAGGGTGTCCAAAGGCTGCCAGATCGAGTTGAGGCTAATTGTCGAACCAATAACAGAAGAAGACGAGGAGTCAGAGTTAAAATGTGTCACTCAAAACAAAGGAGGAAGACGAGAAGTTGTTGCACAGCTTCGACTAGAAGGTGAGCT